TTTCAAAACACACAGCTAAAAAGAAACACAAATTGAATATGAGACGTGAAGAAAGGAACCACTCTTTTTCTTGATATCAGGTTTTCATCTATCTTATTACAGTAACAATCGATTACAAAACAGACCGAATTCAACTTTAGGAATTCGGCAAGCTCGCTTTTCGTGCTTCAGCCAAAGCAAACCTATGAAACATATATATGAAGATCTAAGCGTTTCGTAAGACTCAAGAAGTTCGGAATGTCACAACCTTGCGCATCCCAGAAGAACTAAGTTCATTCCTTCTTACGAGTTTCCGAACCAAGAATACATTTACATCGGAGGGGTACAAGACCTACTGGTGACTCAAAGTATGTCCTGAGTTTTTCCAAATTATTTTTAGTGAAAATAATAAATTTTCTACTGTAAAGAATTCCTCGTTCATACATTTTACAGTATTTTACTTTCTTCTCCAGTTTGGAATGTTCCCGTCCTCTTTTGTGTGTGTGTGTGTGTGCGTGTGTGTGTGTGTGCATGTGTGAGTGCGTGCGTGTTTTAGGGGGAGGGGCGTTTTTTCGTAAATGTATGCGCCTCATGTTTTCCTGGGTTTTTAGTCCTTTTTGATTCCGTGTTTTTTTCAACCTAACGTTCAATGTCGTTTCTAGGATATCTTTGCAAGTCACCGTCACCGTATTCCATGCCTTTTCAAGTTTTATTATTCTTACCTTTTTTTATATATATATTGCACCTCTGACGGGAGCCTCTGGTGAGTGCGAACTTGATATTTTGGAAAAGATTCAGCTCCGTACTCTTTCTTTATTACGACCACATTCCGACATTTTATTGTAGCAATTTTCGGGACGATTTAAACAGTAAAATGATTCGTACGCCAAGTTCGATTAGCCTAATGTGATACTTTGAAAACAGCCGGTCCTTGTAACAGGAAAAGTGCCTCGTAATGTAAAAGACCCGCCATTTGCGGGTGTTTTACACCCGCACATACCGGGTGTCAAACATGTCTTTTAGGTCAAATTACGAGGATTTATTCAACGACTCTAATCATATTTTTGTTGTTGTTGTTTTGCATCCCAATTGAAATAACCTTTTCATAAGAGGTGGGCCGTCTGAATTCCAACACGGTCGACGTAGAGGCCGGCGGCGATAGGGGCCCGAATTCTGCACGAAATGAAGACGCCGCGTACAAATTTAGTGCGTCAATTCGGAGGCTACAGCACAAACATTAAAAAGTCCGAGTAAATCTTGCTTATGCTAAATCAAATAGCAACGCGAACAGGCCCACGGCGCAACGAACGACTATGACGTCACACGGATGCGGTGCCGCTGGCTTACTTGTAAATGGCCTGTTGGCGTCATTTCGTCTAGCGGCTCGTAGAAATACGTCTTTTTTTTTATGCAGTGTTAGATTAACACAAAGCTAAGTATTATTCTCTACACAAAGAACGAAAGGAAACCACGGGTAACGAAGCAATCATAAATTTCTTCTTCTTTTTTATTCTAAAAACGTACCATCAATATTGGTTTAGATTAACGTTCGTCGCCACCCTCCGCCAACATCGTTTTAGGCAACTAAGTTGAAACGTAGTATTTTTCCAACTCATTTCCAAGTGCATAAGGATGACTTGCATCTAACGTACGTTTTTGTGAACTCGATGTAAAATAAACAAAAAAATAAAGTGCACATTCGGATTCGGAAGCGTTTCTTCCTGAATAATAAACAAGATGGAGGCACCCGTGTGGCTGGTATCTCCGGAAAGTGTGAGGCTTTCGCTTCGACAGGACGGAGCGGGAGTGCATGCATTATTTATTTCGTAACTTTCCGTCTGGCGTCTCTTACTTAAGGCTGCTCGTTGTGTCTTGTTCTGCAAGCCAAAGACGGGAGTGCATTTAATGGCACCCTCGGGGTCATAAAGTCCCCTCCTCCGCGGAGAACACTTAACGTTCGTACGCAGACTTTGGAGCATGACCTCTACATGCATGTCCTGGGAGAGCCGTCTGTCATTTCTAGCTCGGGATATTCGTTTCAGATATCTTTGTTGATCGATATTTGAATCTTTGTTAAACGAAAGTGATTATTCTTTTTTCTTTTTTTTAATCTTACGTGTTTCTTTCCTTTATGTTCAGGTTTGTTAATTATTGCAGATTTGTGTGTATATGTTTGTGTATTTCGTACTTGATTTCGGTTTATATATCTGCGTTTGTGTAGACTGTTTTCAGATGAGTTCGGTCGACCATGTCCGGCGATCATTTTGAATGTTGATGAGAAAAAAAAAACTGCTTGTTGACTCAGTGGCCAGCACTACAAAATCGAATTTAGTTTTGCAAAAAGAAATTGTTTGTCTTCGCGGAAACAAAAAAAAAAAAAATTATGAAGCCCACTCTCTGTCCGAAGCTCTTTCTGCGCATTTCGCGTTGGCATTTCTGGCACCTTTCTGAAAACAACTGCTGCGTCTACAGATCTAAAATTTTAACTGACGAAATCCGCACAGAGAGAATTCTCCAAAGTATTTACCCCAAAATAACATTGATATGATTTTTTTTTGTTACATCTACGATAGCGAAAATGTTCAAGCTTTGCCAGCGTACTTCCCTGTATTTTGTAAATATTTGCACTAGATATTCTTGTCCTGGTTAGCGGCACAAATTTACAACCAACGTTCAAATGGGGCCTGTTTGGGATCTGAAGAAGGTACGACCCGATCGTCGTGATGGTAGCGGTTTATCAAAATGTAAACATTGCGGGTTTTTTCTGCGCTTGACCCCGTTGCTTACTTCTTCGTCGCCCCGTGTCCATTCCCAAACATCCTGCAACCCAACAAGGTCAAACCGACTGTTTCGTCGGAATTTCTAGACGTTGAAAAAGCTGGATGGGTCTTCTTACCTTCACGCCACTTCCGTGTCGAATAGGGCTGGAACGCACTTCCCCATCTTGACCAGGGAAAGTATCGTCGACGACGGCCAGACACCAGATTGTTCTTGAGCGATCGTCGTTCCTGAGAAGCACCACACCTCCCACTTGAATGCCGCTTGAGTCAGAGGAGCCTACCGTGTTCGTAGGCTGCAGCTCCAAACGACCAAATTTGAAAGATTTCACGTTTCACGTCCTTCGCCGCTGGCTCCGTGTGAGCCTTCGCTTCTCGGGAACGGGAGTAGAACGTTTCCGCCGCTTCCTGGTTATCCTGGGTGGAACTTCGGGCTCGCGATCGGATGACGACCCGTGGCCCGAGCTACCACGGCGACGCTTTTTTATTTCAATATCTTGCAGTTACACTAAAGGGTGTTCAAAACGGGCACTTAAATAGAGTCCTGCTTCGTCACTCACAAAGTCCTTATAGCGGTAACCATGGCTATTGCAGAACGTTTGGAAGAGATGTCTGAGGGTTTCGGTAGAATTGTTTTTACCCAGTAGTCCACTTGACCCTTTCACCCTCCTTTCTATGAGGCCAAGAAGAACTTCGCCAACAACTGCGACAACATCTTCCCCCGCCTTTCGATTCGCTGAGCCACTCAGCTGTTCCTTCTGTGATGCAAACGTACTCGAAGATAAACTCACGACTCTCCGGGTCGGTCCCGTTTTCAAAATTTCTTGCAGTTGACGCTGAATATTTGTCCTCCTGAATCTCAGTGAAAATGCTCATGAGGTTGGCCGGTTTTAGAATCTTCCCGCGTGTTTCAACAGCACCAGTGTTAGTCTCTTCAACCGCCTCCCCATCCATGCTCATGACTCTCCCGTCGGGGATTCCACTGTCCTTGGAGCCACTGGCACTTAGTTCGCTCTTGCAACCGACAGGCTCCGATAGTAGCTGAGCGTCAGCTGCCTTCATGTCATCTTTGAAGCCAGATGCTCTGTTATTTCCGGGGCTATTGCAAAGTCTCCGTACCGCAAAGGGCGCCCATTAAAGGAACTCCGTTTCGCCGGATTCCACGTCCCTGTCTTTCCGGGCTGCTTTCTCGGGCACTGGTTCACTCTTGATGGTTGACTGCTTGGGCTCTGGCACATCCTCTTCAGGTACCGGTAGGGTATTCTTTTCTCGCAGCTGCTGAGAAGTCTGGTCGCTTTGATGTCGAGTCATTACCTGCATAACAGTTGCTTGGTGCCAGTCCACTTCCGGTAATGGTTGTACTCGACCTTGCACTGTCCAACCAAATAGCTTTTCTACGGCTGTCAAATCTATATCAAGTCGCTTGATAAACCCAGTGACAGCCTTCCAGTAATTGTCCGCTCCGATCAGTGTATCAATGTCTGTGTCTCTCTTGAACCCCGAGCATTAAAGATCGGCAAGTTGCAGCGTGCATGTTTGAGCTGTTCTCCAAAGGCTTAGAGGGAACGAAGAAGATTGGCAAATTTCAGGAAATTCCAGAGCCTCGATTCGTACCCGTCTCCGATCGTATTGGCTTTGGAGCCATACTTCTACCTTCCGGAGTTTACTCGCATTACCAAGGGCAGTATTGCCGAAGGCTGTAATGCCGAAACCCTCTTTTCCTAGAACATTTCAAGACAGCTCGCTGACAAGCCTGGTCGTCACAAACGTCCGCTTGCTCTCTCTATCCATTAGGCACTGGAATAGGCGGCGCTTAGTCTCCCCTTCTGCCCAGACTGTAGCGGTTTGCAGAAGAACTGTTTCGATGCTTTTAGACACCGCACTCCTTACTGACACTTTCGAAGTGCCTGACTTTGACGACGAATGAGGACTGTCTTTGGTGGATTTTAGGACAGGATCGCAGAGGCAAGTCATATGTCTCCCTTGGCAGTTGGCACAGCGGAGAAATTTGGCGTTGCGATAATCTCTTGCCCTGTGATATCTCTTGCAGCACCTAAAACATCGGCCGTCTCTCTTAGGTATTTCTTTTTCACACTGATGGAACGAACGTTGGATTGGTCGAACGAGTGCTCAAGTGCATCGCAAAAAAAGGCATTCGGCATCTTGAGCGTCTGACCTTGCAACTCAAGCTGCTGCCGATGGAGGGACCTATGGTTTGCGCACCTGGTTTGACGAGGCTTCCTTTTAGGCTTTTGAGAGATTGACTTGATTGGGATTTATTTCCAGACCGCGCTCTCTGCTCTCTACCCTAGACTTTAGAAAATTCAAAAACGTTTGCAGACAACCGGTGCTATCCGCGATGTCGGTAGCTGTTTGCTGGCGGTAGCGGAGGACGAGATCGTCAGGAAGTCGCTTCTTCTCGGCAGCATGTAGCAGCGCACTGTACTCTTCCACCTTCAGGCCATGTGCTTTCAGGTTGCGGACATTTATCGTGATATCGTCATTCAGCCGTCTCAAAGCCATAACGTCGATCGACGTGGTGATTCTTCTTAAATTCAATAGTCGCGTCTTGTGGTCGTCAATTATCGCCTGGGTCTGGACGAACCTGTCCTTTAAGATATCCACAGCGATGTTACAGTTGCTCTCCATAATAGGCAATCCCCGTATGCTGTCTTCCGCCTTTCCGAATAAATAACTCGTCAGATATCTAAATTTATCGATTGAAGAAAGGTCCGGCTTATGGTGTATAAACCCTTCAAATTGATCCCAGAAAGGTTTCTTATTATGGAGGTATCCTTCGAACTTTCGGTTCTGTAATCTTGAGAGTTTTATCACTATTGTTCTCGACTGTTGATGGCCTTGGTCCCAAACCTGTAACCGTTCCGCAGCATTCGATATGATGTTAGGCGTGCGCAGGGCATCTAGCTTGAGTGTGGCTCTTGTTCGTAAACGGCAGATCAACACTTGATAAGCCTCGACGCTTTCCCTCTCTTCTTCAAGGTGATCAATATCAACCCCGTCTTGAATCTCACTGTCAACTGCCTTCAATGCTGCTTCCTTCAGTTCGAGAATATTCAGGTTTTCTGTGAGCTCACCAGCGGTTGCATCCGAGGAACTAAGTAGAGCTTGAAACTCGTTAATGGCTCTGGTCACCGCTGACCGAATGACGGCTAATTTCCTCCGCAATCGGTCCATTCTCTGAAGGCGCGGGGTTATCCGGGTTGCTTGTCTGTCAGATGGGGAGCTGTCACTCTTTTTGTCGGTCGTATCCTAGCTCCCGGGTTAAGGGACCATATGTTTGGGATCGGAAGAAAGTAAGACCCGATCAAAGCGATGGTAGCGGTTTATAAGAAGGAGAAGATGGCGGGCTTCTTCTGTGGGTGACCCCGTTCCCCACTTCTTCGTCGCCCCGTCTCCATTCCAACAGGGCCTTTTTATTAAAGGTCCGATTTTAGCGTTTGTTGTACATTTGTCCCGCTTAGCAGGACAACATTATGTAGCGCAAATATTAAGAAAGCAATGGGCAACACGCTGGTGAAGTTTGGAAGTCCTAGCGTTATCGTGAAATGTGCCGTGTTGGCAACTTTTCTTTGAAAACTAACAGTGCCATTACTCCGTAGTAAATATTTTGGAGCCGGAGACGCAGCAGTTGTTTTGGGGGAGGTGCCCGAAAGGCAAACTTTGCGCAATCAGCACAAAGCGCTTAGCATTGGGAGTGTGCTTGTAAATTTTTTCCCCGAAGACTTTTTTTTTTCTTGGAACAAAAGTTAATTTTGTTGTGCTGGACACCGAGCCAGCAAAATGAATATCTTTTTGGCAAAATCAAAATAAATTGTTACCGAACTAGGTCGGCCGAATTTATCTAAAAGCACCCTCAATCTTTCTTTAAATATTTTTGTACATATATCTTTGTACATTTCTGCGTACATTTGTCTAATTATTCCTTTGGATATTTGTTTGTGCATATGTGTACATTTATATGCCGATACGTTTATCGCTTTCCCGCTGTAATGCCGTCTGGGAGCGGTAGGTTAAATTAAATAAATAAATAGCTTTACTTCGAGTAATTTCTAAGATATAGTTCTTGCAGAAAGCATCCTACATCAATAACAAAGACTCCCATTCGTTTAAACGCTCGGGAGGAAGAAAATGTAATATTGTATTTATACCTCTGTACTTAAATCACGTCCAAACACCAAAATAAAGAGGTAAAAAAAAGTGTGTTCCTATCTCTTGGTAAAAGACCATTTGAATGCAAGGACTGAAAGACGGCTTCACTTGACTTCCAACCTCTTAAATTTGGAAACGGAATTCCGGGATGTACAAAAGGACGCGAATCTTTCTGTTTTTTTTTATTCTGTTTTTAATATTCTTTTAGAGGACCCTCACAACACCGAAAAAAGAAAAGAAGCAGAGGGGAGAAGAGTCGTGGGTTCTTTCCGGATGCAATTCGACCGTCTTGTGAAAGGAAAAGGATCCCGTCGTCTAAAAACTATTTATATATATCTATATTTGGCAATAGAAAGAAGCTTCTAAACTCCCGTAGTCAGCTGCAGCAAAACCGAGAGCTTTGGAATGCAAGCTTGCTGCAATAATAGGATTCATATCTAGCCAAACAGAAAACTATAAGGAATCGTAATAATCCGCATGATTTGTTCCATGTGCATCCACATGTTCTCTTCTTTTTGACGGCACAGAGGAGGTGCCTTCGTACCATTCTTCCCAAATTGTATTTTTAGAACTGGGAATGTCGACAGCAGACATTCTGGTTGTGCTTTTACCATTTAAATGTTGCTTTCGTAGTTTAGTTTGTTTTTGCTTTACGTCCACGCGTTTCGTAAACTATATTTTGTTCTTCCATGTGTACTGTAGCGTGAGTATCCTTAGTGCGCTTAATATTTAGAACAAAAAAAAATATAAGCAAGCTTCCTTTTCTTTACACATAACAAAATCTGAGACACCGGAAGAAGGGAACAGATGAACACGAAAAAGGCGACGACACACACTACGTCTCGAACACAGCTGAAGGTTTATTCTAAAACCACATCCTTTTATGGGGATGCACCGCAGTCAACGTCAAGAACCCTAACACCGGTGTCTTAGTTTTCGTTATGTCTGCAATCCACGAGCTTGCCTGTACTTTTAACCTTCCTCCTTTTCTTCCCGATAAACACGTCAGTACCGCCAGACGGTGAACTTAACCTGCAGTTTTCTTCGGAAATTCGGTGAAATTCTTCAGCCTTTGTGGTGCCGTGGTCAGTAAACAACGACACCGGACAAAATCCTGCGAAATATGCAGACAGATGCCACGTGACCCCAAACGACTGAGAACCCCGCCGTCCTGCCACGGCTGTCGGTGCCGTATTACAATGTAGCCAGTGTCTATAGACCTTTGCGTTAATCGTCCGCTGCGCGCTGCCATATTTGTTTGCTGGGCTGTGGAATGCCTTCTGAGAATGCGCTGTTGCTCTGCAGTGCGGTATATCAGACGCTTCACATGCGTCCAGAGATCAGTGACTCGGCATTTTTCGCCGGCGCTCATTGTCTTTAAGGCTTTGATGTAACCGGCTAAACCTATCACGCACAGCAAAAAAAAATTGCGCCTCATAGCGGCGCCCTTGTCGTGCGATTGGTTTTGTCGGTCACGCCAGCATGCGGACGGCTATCAGACGAAACCCGACGTCGACAACATTTTAAAGCGTGTTTGAAGTATTAAAGCTTTAAAAGTGTTTTAATGCGCGCTTTTGAGATATCTGTTTTGTTATTTCTGTCAAGCGTACATGGTTTAAGCACAATAAGATTTTTTTTTTGCAACTAAATCTTCTACGAACTATTTCGTGCAGTGTATAAACTCTGCGCCTAACAATTTTTTTTTCTTCCGTGAGGTGTCATTGCAACGAGAACGGTGGCATTCGCGCTCCGCTGGCCTGGTTTGTTTCACTGCAGCGCCGTCCATATATGCACGCAGCCCTGGACCTTTTTTCGTATAACATTTTATTTCATTTTACATTACACTCTTGAATATTTAGCCAACTGTTTCATTGTGCCTCCTTTTTAATTTTTTTGTTAATTTTTACTGAATATGGCATGCTTTGCTGAATGTATTCATTGCACTGTTGAACTGTTGAGGGGGGGGGGGCAGAAACTCATTCAGGCTTCGCCTTTATCTTTGCCCCCTGGTCGAAAAAAAACCCCGCCAAACGAAGAAAAAAAAAAATGTGCTGCCGGCTTCAAGATTTACCATTGAAGTTAATACCCTAACTGAACGCGTTCCACCACTATAGCGGATTTCATGAGAGGCCTTCAATATTGACCAAAAAGAAAAAGAAAAAAAGGCTCTCACCTCTCTGTGCAAACAGTGTCGCGCACTGTACCAGAAGTGGACTAGGTTAATTAAAGGCGCGATGGATCGATTTTTGTACTTCGCGCAAATATCTCTTAGAAAGAATCCCTGACGTTCATGAACTATGAAACACGTTCGTTTTTCACCACACCCGATACAGGTCCCTGAAAAAATTACAGAAAAGCGTGCAGCGCTCACCCCCTCAACTCGCAGCCAGAACCAGCGCCCACGTGATCTGGAGTCGATTATATGCCGCCAATGTTGATCATAGCCACCAGCTAGGGTGGACCGAGCACTGGTCATGCGCTGAGTTGCCGACGTTGTTCCGGATCGGTCATTTTAGTCATTGCAGCGATTGGACACGGGCAACACTACCCGAATGCTTGTCGAGCTAATGAGTATCACGAATCCAAATCGAGTGCTCACGCGATGGTCAGGTTTAATCTATAAAGTGGATTTAAATATCGTCCCCGGGGGAAGAGGGAGGGGGAGGGGGGGAAGGAACTGCGGCCCCCTTACTACGTTATTACGTTTTGCGAAAGAGAGATTCCAAGTAAACGCTCGCTTTGTAACCTCGTGTAAAAAAAAAAAAAAAAAACATTCCGAGCGAATATCGTTGCAGTACCCCGTTAACGCTATTTTTAAAATATAGCCTTAATCTCGTGAACGTTTCAACGAGTGTTTGGCTTTGCTACCACTTTTTGATTTGGCAACGCTGTAATTCAAAATAGTATGTCCGTTTTTTTTATGTATTTAGGTTATAAAAAATGTTTTATAGTGGAAGTTAAATCCACTTGGGTGATGAAGTACAAAGCTTCTCATATATTGATCGCACCAATAGAAAACTTCATACTAAAAAAAAAAAAAAAAAAAAAAAACGCAGACGAAGAGACACGAAAGAGAGGACAAGCACAACACTGTCTCAAAGGTTCCCGGCAGTTTTTCCCCCGTCTTTTGTGTTCACACGTTCCCTGTATTTTTTTAGTTCACGAGATCATTAGCGATCGTTGGAAATAGGCGCAATCATACTTATTTTCAAAATTAAACGTATTCGTTTACCCTAATTGATTTCATGTAGTCGCCGAATAGCCATTGCTCCTACACGTTTTACTCAACTCAATAAGCTATCTAATCGGCTGTGAAGCAGTAATAAAAAGCTGCCAGTGCTATTCGAAACGTCACATCTTTCCTGCTATGATTAATTACGCATCGCACAATAAGAAATGCTAAATGTCGCCCTTGCATCTGCCCATTTGGCGAATTTAATAACGTTAGGTATAATTAGTTCATTAAGTACGTTTGAATAATTACTTTTTCAATTAGTACATTGAAACGTATGGTTTGAATTAGAAACTTGCTGTGCAGCTGGGCGTCATCAAAAATTACGAAATGAACTCGCGTTCGAGAAGTTATAAAACACGTATAAGGCATTGTAAGACGCTTCGACGAAACTATTGACTTGACCGCGTTTTCATACTTTGTTGCACCTCATGTCCGGCCGCAACGGATGTTACGAGCATTGAAGTCAATCCAAGCCCTTGTGAATGTTACGTGCTCCTTAAAATGGGGAGAACGTGACGCGTGGAGTGCCTGCCATGTGCTACATTCACAAAGCTGGATTGTCTAGGATGGCCCGTGGCGTAAACTACGGTCGAACGCAAGGAAAAAGCAACGTTACTAGAACAGCTCATTTGGAAAACTTCCATAGAGCCTGCTTTGAAATGGTGGCTCCAATCCGTACTCGAGAACCTAACAAAAGGCGATCGCGACGCCGCCATTTCTCCCGCAGCGGCCACTCCTGGAACTCATGGCTGCACATGTCGGTTCAGGCCGAGTCGCTTGAGGGCCGGTG